TACAACATGATGCATGTTAGGCTATTTCATGGAGCTACACTACAAGTGTATGGAGCATGCAAGGGCCAACCAAACCAAACCAAAATAGAGTCATGACATGGCAAAACATCACCAAAAACATGCTAAAATGGAAAGAAAACAAGCTAGAATGACATGCTATTTCATGAAGCACATAAAGCTAGTTTGTGTGATTTACACTACAAGTGTATTGACCATGCATGGAATGACTAAAGCAAGCAAAAATAGTAGTATGCCTCAGCAAAATAACCACAAATAAATGCTAAGAACAAGCCCACATAAGCTTAACAAAGATGCTCAAACATGAGGCATATGAAGCTAGTATACACAATACAAGGAAAAGGGATGACCCTCTCCTATTTAGGACACCAAAACTACCTTTCCACCACTAAAAATCCTTTGAATTTTAGTGGTAGAAAGGTCATGCAAAGGCTTCACCAAGAGCCTAAAGGGATGGCTCAAAACAAGGCCTAACAAGGCCTAAGAGGGAGTAAAACACCCCAAATGAAAAAGTGACCTAAAACAACTATTTTAAGCACTTAAAAAAAGAACTTTTTCTAGTTACGAGTTAAGCTTAAAAATAGATACAAGAAGGGATAAAAGCTTAAGCAAGAATGGGGGATTTAAGGGCTAAAGACTCACCCTTGAAGACCTCCTTTATAACTGCAACTCCAACAGCCACTTTAAGCTTAAACTAGTCCAAGACAAGAGCATGGAGAGGGGACCTTAAACTAGTCCAAGACTCCAGCAGCCTTAGCAAAATAACCACAAATAAATGCTAAGAACAAGCCCACACAAGCTTAACAAAGATGCTCAAACATGAGGCATATGAAGCTAGTATACACAATACAAGAAGAGGGGATGACCCTCTCCTATTTAGGACACCAAAACTACCTTTTCATCACTGAAAATCCTCTGGATTTCAGTGGTAGAAAGGTCATGCAAAGGCTTCACCAAGAGCCTAAAGGGATGGCTCAAAACAAGGCCTAACAAGGCCTAAGAGGGAGTAAAACACCCCAAATGAAAAAGTGACCTAAAACAACTATTTTAAGCACTTAAAAATAGAACTTTTTCTAGTTAAGAGTTAAGCTTAAAAACAAATGTAAGAAGGGATGAAAGCTTAAGCAAGAATGGGGGATTTAAGGGCTAAAGACTCACCCTTGAAAACCTCCTGTATAACTGCAACTCCAGCAGCCTTTTTAAGCTTAAACCAGTCCAAGAACACAAAAAATAACCCCTTAGCACCTCAGCAACCAAAGGAAGGTGTTTGAGTGTTAAACAAAGACAAATCTACACTTTTGAAGCACAAAAATGAAGAACCAAGCAAGATAGATACAAAACTATATGTATCTCTCTAAGGGCAATTTTCTGAACCTGGAGGAGGGAGGAGGAGCTTCCCTCTTATAGAAGAGGAAGGGCAAAGCTTCTAGGAAAAGCTAAGCACCAAGGCAATCCTTCAATACACATGTATGGAGGATGGCCCTAATGTCCTCCAGTTGTGCCAGTTTGAGGAAAATATCTCCAAAAAGGTGTTAAAAAGCAGCCCAACCACTTGAAGTGGTCGGCTGCTACTTAAAGTGGTCGGCCGACCACTTCAAGTGGTCTCTGAGAGCAAAAACGGGTCGGCCATGGTGGGAGAGAGTCCAGGGCATGAAAACAATGCAGTGGTGTAGTGGCCGACCAGAAAAGATGCCCCAAAGACCAAGAAAGCCAGTTGTCCGATCAGAAAACTGGCTGGCAAAGAAAGAAGTGGTCGGCCAGGAGAAATACTGGTCTCCCACCCTTGTACCAAAAATAAACCAAAACGAATGCAAGACGAGAGATCGAGAGGCAAAACACGCGGCCGAAAGCCCCGAAAACTAGCTGACGAGCACCAAAAGTGGTATGCAACCACAAAAATGGTCTCCCGAACCACAGTGTTCCTCTAAACGGAGGCAACAAGGCGTGGGTCAAAAACCACACCAAACGGAGAACGTTAAGCGGTCCTGAGACAAGGCATGCGGCCGAATGCTCCGAAAATCGAAAACTAGTCTCCAAACGAGAAAAGTGGCCTACGACCACAAAGAGATGGTCTATAAGACCTCTCCCTCCCTCCGGGGAAGAGAAACAAAGTTCGGTCCACAAACCGAGCTGAAGCACAAAAGAATTCAGAGGCCCGGAGGCAAGGCTCTCTACCAAAACTCCGAAACCTCTAAATGAGCACAACATGCACCATCACTGAGCGCTCAATCGATGACGTTTGAGTCCTTTACACTTGATAGATAATTTGGGGGATAGTCTATTGATAGTATTTCTTGAGGTTTACTACATTCTAGGGCTGAGGTATGGCTTTGCCCTTCAGATTCTCCAAGTAATATGCACAATTCCCAGCAATGACTGTGACCTTCTAAGGTCCCTCCCAGTTAGGTCCTAACTTTCTTTCGCCAGGCACTCTTTTGTGATCCATAACTTTCCTCAAAACCAGTTCTCCAGGTGTAAATTGCCTTGGGAAAATTTTTTGGTTGAAACTCTTGATGAGCTGCTGCTGATATGCTACAAGTTTGATTAGTACGGCTTCTCTTCGGCCTTCTGTCATGTCCAGTGCTTGTGCAATAGTTTCCTCATTACTGGTGCTTTCAAACAATTCAGACTGAAGGGTTGGGAGACCTACTTCGAGTGGGATGATGGCCTCCATTCCATAAGTTAGGGAGCAAGGTGTTTCCCCTGTTGAGCGTCGTGCTGTGGTTCGGTATGCCCATAGTACGTGGGGTAACTCTTCAACCCATTTTCCTTTCGCATGCTCAAGTCGTTTCTTTACTCCGTTGATGATGGTTTTGTTTGACACTTCTGCCTGTCCATTACTTTGTGGGTACTCTGGAGAAGAGTTCTGATACTCGATCCTGAGGTCGGCACAAAAATTTCTGAAGATCTTTCCATCGAACTACGTTGCGTTATCCGCAATCAGTATCCGCGGGATGCCAAAATGCACCACCACGTTTCTCATGACAAACCGCTTTGTGTCCGCTTCTTTGATACTTGCCAGTGCTTCAACTTCAACCCACTTAGTGAAATAGTCAGTTGCAGCAATAAAGAATCGACTGTTCCCAGTGCCTCGTGCCAATGGTCCAACAATATTTAGACCCCATTGGGCAAAGGGCCATGGGCTGGTGAGTGGGGTGAGAGTTTTGGCTGGCTGATGAATGAGTGGAGCAAATCTCTGACATTTATCACACTTCTGTACGTATTACTGCGCATCTTGTTGCATCCGTGGCCACCAGTACACGTGAGTGAGGGCCCGGTGCGCCAGTGACATTCCACTAATATGGCATCCATAAATCCCATCGTGAATTTCGTAGAGAACATTCTCGACCAGATATGGATGCACACATAGAAGATAAGGGCCAAGATAGGAGCGTCTGTACAGCTTCCTAGATAGTGAGATCCAAAACCGAGCTGACCTGTGTCTGACTTTGTTGGCTTCCTTTTTATCTTTGGGAAGAGTACCAGATTTTAGGAAAGCAAGCACCAGATCCATCCAGCTCGGCTCTAGGTTGCTGCAGAGGACTGGAGATGCAATGCTTGGTTCTGGCACGAACTCAACCCAAACTTTTTTAGTGTCTTTGGTATCCACTGATGAGCCGAGGCAAACTAGAGCATCAGCATGGCTGTTTTTGTCCCTACTAATTCGTTCCACCTGTATGGATTAAAACTTTTTGAGTAGGTCTTTGGCCTCGCCTGCGTACATAGCCATTCTTTCATCTCGTGTTTCATAGACCCCAGAAAGCTGGTTTACCACTAGTTGTGAATACTGAAAACAAGAAGCTGTTCTGCACTGAAGTGTTCGGCACTACGTAAGCCAGCCAATAACGCTTCGTACTCTGCCTCGTTGTTTGAAGCCTTCTAACCAAGCCTGAAAGCTTGTTCCCAAATAAATCCTTCTGGTGAGATAAGTACTACTCCTGCCCCCAAGCCTCGGTTATTGGGTGACCCGTCAACATAAAGCTGCCAGATGTTTCCAATGAAGAGTTTCCATGCTTCCGAAGCACAGGGCTTTCCCTGTTCGATGGTGCGTGGCACCTGTGCCGAACTGGGATTCCTTAGCTCGGTACTATGGGTGGGAGCAAATTTTGCGACGAAATCTGCTAAAACCTAGGCCTTGATTGCTGTCCTGGGTTGATACCGAATGTCAAACTCACCAAGTTCTACCGTCCATTTTGTTGTTCGGCCAGAGAAATCAACTCGGCTGAATACAAATCTGAGGAGGAATTCAATGAGGACGTTGATGGTATGCCCCTGGAAGTAATGTTGCAACTTTCTTGAGGCGATAAGCAACGCGTAAGCTAACTTTTCCAAGGGTAGATACCGAGTCTCAGCATCTAGTAAAGTCTTGCCAACATAGTACACTGGCCTCTGTTCCTTGTTAACTTCTCGAATTAATACTGCGCTTACGGCATGATCTAAGACTGCTAGATATAGGTACATCTTCTCTCCTGGTTCTGGAGTGGACAGAAGAGGTGGTGTGCTGAGGTATCTTTTGAGACTTTGCAGTGTTTCGGTACACTCGAAACTCCATTCAAATGCTACCCTTTTCCTTAGTACCTAGAAGAAGGGCTTCATCCGATCTGAAGATTTGTTGATGAACCGATTCAGGGCGACTGCCATTCTGGCCAGTTTCTGCAATTCTTTAGCCTTTGTTGCTACTTCAAGATTTTGTATTGCTTTGATTTGATCTGGATTCACCTCGATTCCTCTGTGAGTGACCATGTATCCCAATAACTTCCCTGTTCCTACCTAGAAAGCGCATTTCGAGGCATTGAGGCAAAGCTTATGGTTTTTCAGGATGCCAAAAACTTCTCTCAAGTCTGCAAGGTGGTTTGTAGCGAGCTTGCTTTTTAATACCATATCATCTATATAAGCTTCCATGGTTTTCCTAAGTTGGTCCTTGAACATCCGAGTAATCATTCGCTGGTAGGTTGCCCCGGCGTTCTTGAGGCCAAACAACATTACTTTGTAGCAGTAAGTTCCCCTTGGAGTGATAAATGCTGTGTTTTCTTGATTCGGACCAAACAGTGGTATTGGTGATAGCCGCTATAAGCGTCCAGAAAGCTCATGCGCTCATGCCCTGCTGTTGAGTCTACCAGTTGATCGATGTTAGGCAGCGAAAAGCTATCCTTGGGGCAGGCTTTGTTTAAGCAAGTGAAGTCAACACGAACTCTCCATTTTCCATTCTTCTTTTTGACTACGACTGTGTTGGACAACCATTGTGGGTACTGAACTTCTCTGATTGCTCCTGATGCCAGGAGTTTTTCGACTTCGGCAATTACTGCTTCAGTGTGCTCAACTGAGGATCTTCGATTTTTTTGTACAACGGGCCGAGCGGAAGGGTTGATGTTGAGCTTGTGGCAAGAAAATTCGGGTCCAACCTTGGAGTATCATATGCTGGCCATGCGAATACCTCCATATTTTCCCTCAGCAGTTCCAGCAGCTGAAGTTTCTCATCAGCGCCTAGTGAAGTACCAATAAGGAAATACTTTTCTGTATCATCCTCTTTTACCAGGACTTTCTCTAAATCCTCTACTATCTTTTCTTCTGGGGCTCCCCCTACGTCTTTTAAGACTGGTCGTTCGACCACTTCCACCGTCTGTACCCTGTTGTAGAGTTGCTTTGCCTTTAGTGCCACCATGAAGTAATGTTTGGACTCAACTTGATCCCCTGAAATCTGCTCTACTCCCTGTTCCGTTGGGAAACAAATGAGCTGGTGGTAGGTTGAAGGGACCGCCTCCATTTGATGAATCCATGGACGGCCAAGTATGGCGTTGTAAGGGAATGGTGTATTAATAACTAGAAACTCTATCTGGAGGGTTTTTGTTCCTACCATAACTGGCAACACTATTCTGCCAAGCAGTAATTCTGGCTGTGAATTGAAGCCATCTAACGGAGTTGCCGCTGGGGTGAGGTGCTGCTCGGAGAGACCAAGCTTTCTGAAGAAGTCATAATACAATATGTCTGTTGCACTGCCTTGATCTACTAGGACTCGTTTTACATCAAACCATTTCCCAATTCCCACAGTTATAATCAGTGCATCAGTATGTGAGTGTTGTATGCCTTCTAAATCCTTTCTAGTAAATGAAACAGTGCATAAGGGGAATTTGGGTACTATGCTTACCTTTTTCGATGCAGGCTCTACTAACATGATTTGCTGAATTCTATAGATCTTTTCCAAGATTCTATAGATCGGTTCTTTGAATACAATCACGACGACTTTGTGAGATTTGGATTTATCTACCTCATTTACCGGGAGTCCTCGGTGTTCTCCTCAATCTGTTCTCTTCTTGTGCCGAGCTGTTTGTTATGCTGATGCTACCTCGATAGGGATCTGATCATCTTCGAGGCAAGCGTACTGCTCAATCCTGGCACGCAAATCTTTCAATGCTGTGGCCGGGCGCTTGGTAAGTGATTGTCTCAACTTACTTTCCAGGCGTAGACCATGCTTGAAAGACATAACGGCCATCTGCTCACTGCACACATTTTCCTCCAGGTCATTGTACTCTTCCCAGTACCTCCTAGCATAACTGCGCAGCGTTTTTTCCTGCTCCTTTCGGAGGCCAAACAGTGTATCCGGCTCTTTCGGAATCTTAGTGTTAGAGACGAACCTGGCTAGGAACTCTTCAGAGAGCTGCTTCCAGCCATGAATTGATCTAGCGGGGAGTCGATCGAACCATCGAAGTCTGATTTCTCCCAAGCTGCATGGGAAGACTTTGCACATCAATGCCTCATCTCGGCTCCATAAAGACATCATCTGTCTGTAATGGCTGATATGTGTCAGCGGGTCCGACTTCCCATCGTACAAAGTAAACTTTGGTGGGGTGAATTTTTTTGGAGGTCTCATGGCCTTAATTTCCGAGGAGAATGGCGAGGAGACGAGCCTATCCAGTGCTCAGTGCTCTCTCTGGTGAATGGTACGGTCCAGATGGTCTCGATGTTACTCGTTCTGTTTGTTGTCGATCAACCAAGTACGAACGTCTTGAGGAGGATATTCAGTCTGTTGGCTAACCATCTTCTGCCTCTTAGCCCTTCTCTAGCATGACCCATGGTGTGGCTGCTCGCCGCCTCACTCTGTACTGGGATAGGCTGGCTTTGTTGCCCAGACTTATTTCTAGGGAACTTCTTCACTGGTGGCTCTCTGGATGAGCTCCTTCGCCGCAAGCGAGAGGGCTCTGCTTCAGTCTTCTTTTCCGTTGGATCACCCAACACCCTTTTAAGTTGCGCTTTCAGCTCCTGTATCTCCATCCCCATGGAGTCTATGATTCGATCTCTGTAATCCTTTTCCAGAAGAAAGTGATGAGAAGAACCTCCAGCGAAGGGTAATCGATGCTCGACGAATTCAGGGGTCCGGTTATTGTTTCCAGTTTGTTTTTCTAGGACTGTTGGGAGTGCCAAGCCTATGTCCTTTGTCTTCTCCGTCTGTGGAGTATGTGTTGAAGGTGGGATGTCCTTCATCCCCATCGCCAGAACTGAGTGCAGAGCTTAGAGATGAAGTGATCCACGTTCACCGTACCAATTGTGCGTATCGGATTCCGCACTAGATGAAAGTGGTTTGGGGCTCCGCACTCGGTTGGACTGTCCAAGGATTGAGGTTCCTACCACAAGAAGCACCGTAAGAGCTGCCCGACTGGGGTTGGCCGGATAACTCCTCCGGTATGGGAATCAGTGATCGGAGAAGAAGTGCAGAGAGTCGAGTTTGTAAGTAAGTGGGGTTTAGCTCGGAATAGTTCAGTTACCTTCAATGTGAAGTTCATGTACTATATATAGGGTTCCTTGCTTGATTCTCAAGATGGTTTTCTGGAGCTATGGTGCTGCCAGGTTTCCTTTTAGCATTACCCAAGGTGGGGGACCACCTGGAAGTTATTATAGAATGCATATACTCATTGTAGTCATGCTGATAACAAACCACATTCTTCTGGTTTATCAGCTTCCGTGATTCTAGGTGTAGGGGACTAGCTGAGGTGGCATCCTCCATGTGCATGCATCCATAGCTTCCACGTTTCTCTAAGGGGATTCCTCAGCTCGGTACCGTTGTGCCTCAATTCGGCCTTTTACAAGATCATTTATAGAGATGGGCTGGCCCATTCAGATATCTTTGTAGGGGCTCGACCCACTTTAGTTCGGCCCATAGGTTAGGTCTTGCAGCTTGGCCCAGCCCAGCGTCGCGACTGGACTAGCCTTTCCACTGCGAGTTGGGTTCAAGTGCTTGAGGACTTGGGTAGACTGTTGATCATGGAATTGGGCTCAATTGGCTTGCCCATATATTCATCTAACCCACTTGGATTTGGGCTTTAGTGGATTGGGCCGGTCCAAGGCTTGGATCCGACCCATTTCATATCTAGCCCCTTCAAGAATCTTGGGTTTTAAATTTTTCCCATAATTCTGAATTTAATCATGCCTCCAAAATTGACTTCCATTCCCATAAATCTCCTTTGTAAAAGCTCAGGCGACCTAACTCATTCATCTCTGTTATGTGGTTTATACACTAAAATATTTTATTTAATATTAAATAAAAATCATTCCGTAGAATAGCAATTAAGAGCATGTGTCGATTCACAAAGACTAAGGATGAATAATTTAATTTAGAAATTTAGATTTGTTTGCAAATATTTGGGTTGAAAGTTAAACTAATTAATTAAACAAAATGAAATAAATATCTCAGGATTTTGAATTCACCACTAACCTCATAATTGGGAGTAAATATACTCAATATTTAGAAAATCATTGATTTGGATACTGTGATGTAAATTGATCAAAAACACACCGTCAAGAGAATTTGTATATCAAAACCAAAAAGTCATGAATCATCTTCGCTTAGCACAGACCGTCACCGATAAACTAAACTAAATTACGGTTGATGCACGACCCGTCTTATTAGGTATAACTCTCTAACAATTTTAATACACAGCAGTGACAACCATTGTATAACATGATTTGAATAAAATATTTATTATACAAAAAGATCTAGGAGTTATTCAATTATATCCAAATCAAATAAAAAATAAAAATATTAACTATAGGGTCTCATCTCTATCCTAAGACCAAAAAATAAATAAAATAAATAAATAAATTACTTCCAAACGTTCATTCTAATATTTACATAAATACACATCCTCACTCTTGGTTCTTACCTGGAGCTGGAGCTCTTCCGCAAGCTCTGCTCCTCTTCTTTTTCTCTCCCATTTCTTTTTGCTTTTCTGACTTCAACCTGCAATCAAATAAACATAATAATATAATTATATAATATTTTATTATATATGTATATAATAAAGCAAGACGGTTTTTGAAAATACATAAAATGTATCAGAGATACATTTAATTTCAATGGCTCAGATCAATTTTGATAAACATCAATGGTTTAGATAATGATTTATTCCCGCTCAAACACTCTATGCTCTCTCTCTCTCCCACCTACCCACATCTCCTACCTACTCCCTCTTTTATCTCTCTCTCTTTCTCTGTTCTTATTTCCTATCCTCCCTCTCGAACTCGGCCTCAATTTTTGCCTCCCCCCACTCCCCCTTCTCTCTCAGTGCTCGCTGCTTCCAAGGTAGGGTTTCTGATTGAGAACTGGCTCACCGAGTTGGCTCCTTCATTCCATGACCAACTTCACCACCACTACAGATTCTCTCTTTATTCGATCTCTCCCTCCTTCTCTGCTCTTCTTATTTTCTGCTTTCCCCCTCAAACTCAGCCTCGATTTCTATCTCTCTCCCCCCTTCTCTCTCAGTGTTCACTGCTTGGAAGGTAGGGTTTTCGATTGAGAACTGGGTCACCGAGTTAGCTCCTTTTTTCTACGACCAACTTCACCTCCACCACAGATTCTCTCTCTGTTCGACGCCGTCGTCTTCTCTTTCTCTCTCTGCTTCGAACCTCCTCTGGTACCTCTCTCGATGAGCCAATTGTTGTTTGTTGGTGGAATTGATGTCTATAATGGTTTCAATTGATGTTTTTGTTTATTATCATCAAAGCATCATCTGAACCACCATTGAAAATAGTAAGTGATGCTTTGGTTCATAGTGGTTTAGATGATCCTTTGGTTCAGATAATTGTCAATCTGTTTGATTGAATTTGGGGTTTTATTTTCTGTTTTTATGTGTATCTGTTTAATTGAATTTGGGGTTTTATTTCCTATTTTTATGTGTATGATTTTCATGGATCTCGTTTCCTAGATTTCTTTGTTCTAGCCACAACCACATCATTGCTGTAACGCTGTTTGTTTGTTGGTGGAATTGAGGTCTATAATGGTTTAAATTAATGTTTTTGTTTATCATCATTTTTGTTTATCATCATCAAAGCATCATTTGAACCTCCATTGAAAACAGTAGGTGATGCTTTGGTTCAGATAATTGTCTTCTTACTGCCAATGTAGTGGTTCAGATGATCCTTTGGTTCAGATAATTGTCAATCTGTTTGATTGAATTTGGGGTTTTATTTCCTGTTTTTATGTGTATGATTTTCATGGCTCTTCTTTCCCAGATTTTCTGGGTTTGTATGTGTATGATTTTCATCGTTTTCCTTTCCTAGATTTCTTTGTTTCAGCCACAACCACATCATCGTTGTACAGCTGTTCAAAGGTAAATTGATTTCTCTATCTCTCTCTTTCTCCCTTTGAGTAATTGAGTAATTCAAGTTTGCTAATTTTCTTTGTTCAATCTCATGATTTTGCTGTTTGAAGTGTTGGTATGGGGTTCACTGACTTCTTAGTTAAATTTTTCTATAAATTTCAATGCTCTATTTCTATAAATTTTCTGAATTTTCTATAAATTGGTGTATTCACTCCCTACTCATTGAAAAGAAAAACAAAAAAAAAATTCTTGGACCATAATGCATGTTTGTTCCATGTCTAAAGCATTTTGTTATCCATGTAGACATTACCCATGTCTTTTCATTGCCAATGCACCATTACATCTTTATCCACTAACCTCCATTGAAAACAGTAGGTATGGTTAGCAGTTGGATTCCCATTTAAATATGTATATTAAATTTTCTTAATTTGGAGTTTATTTGGGTTACTAATAAATTGATGTATCGCGTTTCATGTCTTTATTTAGGAAACCGTCGAGTTTGATATCAAGATCACTGACATTTGTGCCACTGATTTTCTCTATTCAATTGCTTGATTTTGTTGTGAAATTTGGCTCTCAT